TTATATATATATATATAAATTATACCTGCAAGCTGAAATATGAAGAGGAGTTCGTCCATGATCGTCATGATTATTAGGTGATACGCCAAATTCCAAAAGTCTTTTCATCAAAGATACATTATTCGTCGTAGCAGCCAATCGCATTCTTCGTTGAATACGTTCGGTTTGCCAATCATTCCAGGCTACAGCTTGGGTATTCGTATTTTTACGCCATGTACGAAGGACACGTACTCGTATTTTAGGGCGGTATAGATCAGCTGCAATATTAAAATTATTATATTTTTGTATATAACATGTACTCTCACCAGGAAATTATTTGAATAAATTAATATTTGTCTAAATTCTAAAATAAAAACTTTTTTAAAAGATTTAAAAATATAATGCAGCAAAAAATGGTTATTCTCTTTAAAGTAAAATGCAAAATAGTCAAAATACGTAAATTAAAATTTGTAAAAGGATACTCACAGGGTGTCGATAATTCGCTAATCTTGTGTTTATTCCGTATTATTTCTAAGGTCTGAAATAACACAATATTGTTCTTTCAATTCACAATTTATAATTACGATGTTAATAATTACATTACACAAAAAAAAATTGTATTAAAGATCTATATTGTTACTGACTTAAAATGTTTTGATAAACAATGCCTGCTTTTGTTATCTTTCATTTTTACTTTGTATTTTTATTCAAAGAATCTTCTAAATAAGTTTCTTTCTACAACTCTCAACTTTACTAATGGCAATAACGACGATAGATACCTCGGCATTGATTTTAAGCAACCTATTCTTTTGCAACATCACAGTGACTTCAGGCGAGGTTCGTCTGCTCTCATCGGGAACAAACAGAGGATGTATTAAAGCGGGCCAATCGTACATGTCCAGATTGGGAAATTCTCCAATGGAATTAGTGTCGACGGCTGTTACGCCGTTACTGATAACCTGACTAGCGACGACCTGCTGTTGTTGACCTTCCTGCTGAACGATCGAGCTGTCATTCGAATCGTTCCCGGTTTCTACTCCCGAATCTATCGACGTCATGTTTACATTGCAGCACGCAACACTACCGCTGATACCACTGTCGGGTAGCATCGCCTCTCGCCCTCGCGAATCCGCAACGTCGTCCATCGGTATAATTTGTCTCACAGAGAATTTATTAGAAATTAACTCACGTACCAAAAACAGAATTAACAAACAATCGAATTTTTCGCTCTACTTTTAACAGTTTTGAGAACTTTACTCTGACCAACTCTGACAACTTTCTTAATCACCTCTCTTTCTCCTTACGTTACCTCTTCTTCATACCTCCTACTCACTCCTGTTACTTATTGCTCATTTGCGCCTCGGCGCTGTGTCACGTGACAACACAGACGTCATATAATTGATTGTGAGGGGCTAAGAATAAGAATTTCAACCTATCGGAAATCGTGTATTGTGGAATACACAGTTTCTGATAGGTTGAAATGTTCTCTGTTCCCTGTTCCTTTTATTGTGCGGAGTCCCTAAGAATTTCAATCTATCAGAAATCATTTATTGTGGAATACATAGTTTCTGATAGGTTGAAATTCTTATTCTCTGTTTTCTGTTCTTTTTATTACGGAACCCCTGACTGCGATTGCGACTCGAATGCACGGACGACCAAAAAGTCGCGAGATCGCTACTTCCTGATTGATCGAAAAAAAGTCGCAGTCGCCATTGCATTCGCAGCCGCGAATCGCTAGTGTGATACAGCTTTAGATAAAATACGTATTTTATAATTCGAAATATTTGCATTATACTTTTATATTTAAATTAAATCAGCGTACAACTGCTTTAATATACACCAGTGCAAACTAGTTCTTCCAATCGAATTCGTCATATGAAAACTGTCCCCTAAGCATAAAGTCGATTATAGCTTCTAGACGTCTTTAAGTCATACAATGTCCCATTTTAAAGACGACTATAAATCGACTTTAAGTCAACCATTCTAGGCTGTAATCCGATTAATGTCTACACACTCATGAATAGCATTCATCCTTGTTTAACTGTAGTTAAACAACAAGGACGAATGATTCCACATTTAAGCTTTGTGAGCGTAAATCGCATTAGATGTCCTAAAATCGATATTGGAAGGACGTTTATACAAAGTTGACTTTAAAGACCTGAATTAGAAAAATGAACTTAAAGTCGACATATCGACGTTTGTGCTGTAGGATACTTTTAAGAACCGCAGCACAGACTTTTGCATAATGCATAACGCATAGTGCATAAGCGAATCAACTAATCAGAATCTTTCCTTTCCTCCCATTCCACAGAAAAGAAGAATTTCGATTGGTTAATTCCCTCATGTATTATTCCCTCAATACTATTGTATTATACGTTATGAAAGTCTGTGCTATTAGCTTTAACTGGGGAGCACAAACTTTTGTATAATGCATAAAACATGAAGCAATAAAAAAATCAACCAATCAGAGTCCTTTATTTCATGGAAAGGAAGTCCAATAAAGGATTTTGATTGGTTCTTATGCGTCATGTGTTATGCATTAAGATGTCTTTTTATGCTAATGCTCAATGTTTGTTTTCAGCTTTAAAATAGATCACTTAATCAAAATTAACTTGATATTCGTCAACTTCTATCACGTGACTTATTTTAACACCGAACATGAGCGAGCGTTAGCGTAAAAAGGCACCTTTTATGCAAGAATACGTACCCCCGCTTTCTCTCTTTCTTTTCTTCGCACTCATTTTCCGACAATGTACGAAGTTATCCGAAGATTACCGAGTGAACAAAGGTGGAGAACCAATCAGTTATGCCCGCTTTCTCCAAACTGACAAACTCTGGGAATCGATTCTGTATCTTGAAACGAGGTGAAAATTACCAAAATGAACGAATTTATTAGAATACTGATAATTTTATTAGTCAACATTTAGTTTTTTGCTCATTTTTGTAATTTTCAGCTCGTTTCAAGATATAAAATCGATTTCCTGATTATTGGATCTCTAGCTGTGTTCCAAAATTCATTGCCAGCGCTGAAAATCTATAGTTTATGTTATGTGTATTATACATTTTCAGCACTAGCAGTGAATTTTGGAACACAGCCTATATGTCGATAGACCATAATCTACCAACCATAATCTAACCTTCGACTTTAACGTGTAATCTCAAGTTTAACACGAGAACAGCTGCTTTGCGTCCGTTGTTAACAGCCTTGAATGACTTAAATATTTTCGAAGAGTTTGGAAAGTCAGGAAGCCTTTTCGAACTCGAAAGTGTAGACATCTGAAAGATTCAGAAAAGAAAAAGAAGAAATTGAAGGACAAGGATCTCATTTCAACAAAAGAAAAAAGGCATCGAGGTCTTATGTGACCTTTTCACCGAAATTCTAAAAATGGGAGTTCCGTCATCTGCAAGCACGGAAGTCAATATATTGAACGAGATTCATTATTTAAAAAGTAAGTTTGCTTTTAGGGAATAAAAGAATAACTTGATTTTTCATTATATAGAATAAAGATCAAGAATATGTTTAATAATTTTAGATTTTTTATTTTAACGGTACACTGATAGTTTGTCAAGTAGATTTTATTAGAATATTAATTGTATTTACATTCTGTCAGCAAGGTCTATTGCTGACATTGGATAATCTAACAGCAGATTGCAACAGAAAACAGTAATTTATTCCTTCATAAATATTTGAATGGAATATATTATTTAAACGATTAGAAAATTTTACTCGATTTCTGTAATCATATTGTTAACAGATTTTGTTATATTTTTGTTTGATTTTTATTTAATATAGACAAAATTTGTAACAAAATATAAAATTTACTAGAAATTAAATGTCTATTGG